AACCCCGCACACCTCGACATAGTTTATTGTTGAGACAGGTATTGCATATATACATATATACAGCTATTAAGAAGTCATGTTTATTAACATATATCAGAATCGTTTAAAAGTATGTACATATATACAAGCGCTCTGAAAACCTATTTTACATATGTACAGGTTTATTTACATTTATACAATCCGCTCTGCTGGTACTTGTAATAGAATAAACGCTGAAGAAAAGAAGTGATTAGCATTCCAGGTGAAGAGGACACGTCAGGCTGAAAAGGAAAGAAAAAAAGTGGCAAGCTGGGTGGGTGGGTGGGTGGGAAAGCGATTAGATACAGTGACACACAGTGATGTGGGCCGCACCATATGAACAACAGCGGCCATATCAAGCACAACAACTGTGGCTAATTTGGCTGGAAGTGCTCGACCAGTTGGCGCTTGGGTGCATTCCAGAATATCAGACTTTTGCCGAATCGAAGTGAACCATGATCAGCCAAACTTGGTGGTTCCCTTTGATTTTCAAAACGAAAAAACTCTTCCATATCTACATCTGGTCGTGATTGTAGTGAAAGGAAGAGTGTTGTGATCAGAGTCATATTTTTCTTCTGTAAACCACTGGTTTTGTTTCCTTTTTTGGTCAGATCAGGACGATTGGAGAATGTCAGGATTTTATTACGTTCGATAGTGTTTGACACTGGCACTGTCACCTTATTAAGTGTCTGTGAAACGAGTTGTGCATGAAGGTCTTTGCCAACTTCATGAACCCTAGAGAGAGGTGTAACGACTTCCTGTTCCATAATTTCTTGTGTGTCGAGTGCTACAAGTTCTTGACCATTAGTAAAGGGATTGCCTAGCTGCTCAACAATCTCAACAAATGACAGGACATCCTTCATATACTTAACTTGCAAGTTAAGTGCTTCTTCGTGATGAGGAGTGCTAGACTTTGGTGTGTCTAGGACAGCTTCAAACTCTGCAACACATCTCGAGCAGTCTGGACCTACCAACATGAAGAGTCTTAGTGCTTCAGGGTTCTCATAGAGTCCTGGTGCTCCGCGATGTGCCTGTAGACTCTTATTGGATTGTTCGTGTGACTGATCCTTTCCAATGAGGCTGAACTTGTGTGGTGACTTTTGAACGACAAAGTTCCCTTTCAGAAATTCAGCATGTATGTTCGGGTGTTTCTCTGACAGCTGGACCATAGCCCGCACATGCATTGGTAGCCATCTTGCATAGTTTGTGTGGTCCATCACATGAAACCATGGGCAGAGCTCATCACATACTTGGACATAGAGAAGGAAATCTCCCACACAGCGACACATCAATAGCTCAAGCTCCATGATGGTAGACCAGAACTTGAACTGCGGATTTTTGGTTTTGGATCGTTGATCCCACATCTCCTGTGACTCAGGTGGTCCATGAACATTCGAGCAGTAAGTAGAATATGCCTTGTGCTTAAGGAGGTAAAGAGACATTACAGATACTTGGTGGGCATAACGTGTGCGCTTGATATGCTGCTGATTAAGAACTGACTCAGCACGGCCAGATGTTAGAACCTGTGCCTGAGAAAGTACTGTAATCCAACTGAATCACGCAACAACTTTCCAATCATATGATGAACTTTGTCTTCAATATGCAATGCTCCCATCATCACAACCAACTTATCTTCTCCTAAAATGTCTGGAAATGTCCATTGTAGTTGCTTTGCTATAGCATAAATGGGCTGATCTGCACCCAGAACACCCGTCTGACCGGGATTCAGGAACTCTGTACCTCGCATGGTGAGTTCCATTGTATGTTTTATCATGGATGGAGATGCTGCTTTGTCTGGAAAGAGAGGAAAAACCCCTATCACTGCCCGAGGCTTCAGAGAGTCCTCACTCATGAGCCGAGAGTTGTACCCTGACCATGTGATGACTTCTTCTGAACAAGTGCCCTGCTGGAGCACTGTGGTGACATGTGCCATCCAGGATTCGTCCTTCGTCTTGGCCCTCTGTGCCATATCATGACATGGTCGAATTTCGCTGTTGATGCTTCTAGGTACAAACAAGGGAGTGTTGTGTAGCTCAACTGGATGTATGATAGCATATGATTCTGGAAGTTGGGGCACAGATGTATCAGAGAAGTCCAGTTGAATAGGAGCTCGCTCTACTCCTTGGTTTTCCCAAGATAGATGGTTCGTTGCACTCAAAGCAGTGCCATGAAACTCATCCTGTGAAAAGTTTCCCTTGTTATGACTATCCAAGTTGTCCACATCAAAGGTGACAAAAACATTGCATCGCAGATTAGTTGGCAGAACAATTCCATCCTCAGAATGGCGATTGCAGACTGCTCGTGCAATAGCTTGTTTCACCTCCATAACACGGCTATAGGACACTGATAGGCCAAATTCGTGGGCATTCTCGATCTGTTTCTTAAGTCGTGCATCTCCGTGCATCTTAAGGCCTTGGTAAAGGGGGAATGGTGTCTCATGCGCTTTTCCATGTCGTATGGTGCTTGTTTTGGTTGTGTGGTGTGTCCCACTACATGTGTTGTAAATGAGCAGTTGTGAGATTGTACATGCAATTTTTACCCTCCCGTGCACACATTCATCCATTTCAATATTACCTTGCTCTCGCAGAATTGATGGACCTTTGAGGATGATATTGATGAAGCTACGAAGCTCGTCTGGTACAGGAGAGGTTAGGCAGTCTGGGGAGAAAGACCCATGGAAGGGTTCCTGCTTCTGGAGACAACACCTACGCAAAATCACCGCTGCCCGCATCAGTAAAAGGGCATCATCTTGACCAAGTTGGGACTCATGAGCTTTCGCGAGCAGAGCTGCAATCTTTGTATTATTAGAAATGTAGATTTCCTTCCCCTGTGAAAACTCAGCCCATTCCGGAAGAAGATTGAGAATATGCTCTTTAAACCTTGTTGAATGTGGCTGCCTAGTATCATGACAGGGACTTCCTTGTTCTTCCATCAGATTTCGGTACATCTGCCGAAGTGCTGATAGCTTATATACTGAGTCTGAATCCTCAACAAGAGCTACGATTTGCGCTGTAGCAATTGGATGAAACTCAGGTTGAGCAGGGCTTGTGGATGCTCGACGATCAGCAACGTGTGCACAGTCTCTCAGATGCAAGTAGCATTGGACATGGTAAAAAACATCACCAGCATGGGCATCCGCAGCTTGTGCAATCAATTTACCCATTAACCGGAAATTATTATTTGACTTTGCCCAGCTTTTTAGATTTGCATCTACGTTGTCAGTTGCCACCTTGCATAAATTGGTCTGGTCATCTCCATAACAAATAATGCAGCATTTGACATCACTGCCTTTTCCATGTGATGTCCCCGCTGATCTGAGTTTTTTTGGTGAACTCTGTGCACTGTCCTCATGTTTTTGACGCAGCCTCTTCACAGGAGAACTACTACAGTAGCTCCTACAAGTTTTGTGATACTTAGCGTTATTGGATCGGAGTGTTGCTGCAATACCTGATCCATCATTTAGTTGATCAAAGGCGACTGTAATACCAGATGGAACGGCATTGATTTTCTTAAAGTCAGTCAGGTCTCTGTCAAGAGTCAAAAGCCCTTCCTCCTTTGGTGTTTGCAACTGTCCACTTTTATCTGATTGCCAAAGACAGCAAAGTTCCCAATTGAAACTTTCCATTGTTGGCGCAATATCACAGGTACAATTTACTATTATTTCACCAGCACCACTGTTCTCGCCAATTCAGCTAAACACACCTTCAAAGACGTAAAAATATTAACACATTCACTGGACAAGTAACCATATAGGCCACCTATGCGTGAGTAATGCCCAATTAGTCATGACAACCTTTCTCAGCATTTCTGGAAGAAGAACAAAATACATGCAAGGAACAATTTATGTGACCTTTTTGTGTTCAATAATATAAACCATCAACCACCAAGCAGTGCATCATCTCATTTGCAGACCAGAAAATAACATTACTGTGTCGCATCAAAATTAAGCCTGAACCAGGAAGTTTTTGCCCTCAATACTCTGACAATTAAATTGTCCAAAGCATATTTTGTATGTCAAAACAAAGCACAGTTTGTTATGTGTTTTTTTTATATTTCTTATGCTGTTCTCATTTGTGAACTTTTTCTGTGAGGTAAAATGACCATAAAAAAGATATCTGATTTGAATAAAATATGTTTTCAACCACTTAATTGGCCAAAAAGCACTTCTACATCAAAACAAGGATCACATTTGGAAACCTTGAGGTCAAAAACCTACAAAAAGAGCCTCAATTCAGGATCCTATGACTTTTGGTAATGAAGTTAGGAAAAATCAAATTGGCGGCCATCTTGGATTTTGCCAATATGGCCGCCCCAATGAGCGCCGGCTTTGGCGCCCTCCAAAAATGGATTAATTATGTTCTGGTCTACACCTGTGCCAAATTTGGTGCTTGACTAATAACCATCTGGGGTATTTCCAAATGACGACATCCGATGAGCTCCGCTGTTCTTTTTGTCTGCTTGTTTCGGCTGAAGAAATTAATTAACATGCGCCCTTTGTCGAAATCTGTATAGATCACAGTTAACCAATCAGTGTTTATGCAAAAATGCATAAAACAAATATTGCCTCCAGCCTCCAAGTTTATTTAGCTGTCCTTGCAGACGGTAGCCCAGTCTCTGGTCACGCTCAGTTGCGTTGCGTATCATCAGGGTACTCACGGGGGAAAAAACAATAACAAAGGCAACAACCAGTCCGGGGAATTGCGTTAGATCAGTGCCCCTTTAATAAAAACGTTGAATATCACTCTGTTCAAAATAATTGTATGAGTATGAGTAAAAATAATAGAGAATATTTTCATTACACTTTAGTTTAGTCTCATGACGATCGTTGAATCGCATCATCATTTTTGCATAAAAAATTCCCTCTGTAGTAGCAGTATAGGTATATAAATCTGGCTCCAGTGGAGTTGCGGCAGAACTGTCATTGTCTATACTACTGATGTGTTTTGGCCGTTTTCTCCAATATGTGGGACACGTTTTGGCACAGCGCCGTTTTAACCATAGCATAACCACTTTTCAGCCGGTGTTCTCCCTGCTGCTGGGAGAAGAAGACCTGCAAGCGTGTTTGGGAATCCCAACTGAGGGGCGGAAATGTCGGAAACAGATAAAGCCCAGACCTCGACCCCGGGTGGTGACACCATCTTTGGCAAGATCATACGCGGAGAGATACCTACCAATTTTCTATTCAAGGACGACGTGGTACGTGTACATGCGTGTGTATAAAATGTATTGTAACATGTGTATAGTTATATATTTACATATGGAGAAGGGTCCTCGTGTCAAGGCTTTATTAGGCTATCCGGAATATATCTAGTGTGCTCCAGATGAATGTAACTCCAACACACTCGCCATACTGAATCTGATAATCATCACAGGCTCAGTGTAAGTGGGGAGTGTTGTCACGCACTGAAACTGTTCTGTTGTAAAATCTATGTCTTACTACAGTAACATGGTTCCATTAACTCCACCTACAAACTGACATGAATGTAAGCACAATGTGATAGTCACTGATACTATTCGTTTCAATATTATTTGCTTTCGTTTTCGACTGTGGCTCGAGTTATCGGGAGCGGGTCAAAACGGCCTCATGTCAGAATGGCCTCAAAAGGTAAAGTCAAAACAGTCACAGAAAAAGTCAAAAGGGCCACAACCCATAATCATAACGGCCACAACAATAAATAAGGAAGACAAACTCAAGTATTGTGTCACAGTAATTGTACTCAATCCTGCAAGTAACTGACTGAATTTGTGATTAAACGTCGACTTCTCAAGTCTTGTATTTTGTCGACGGGGTAGGTAGGGTTTAATAAATAATAAGTTGAATAATGATAAACCACCATACCCAAAAAATTGTAAATGGTGAAGGATAAAGTAACCTACTATAGTATATATAAATAGTATATATGTGTAGGTATATGAAGATAATTAAAATATATATGCACTATAACTTTAGATGTAGTAGATAAATATATGATTGGGTAGGGTATATAGAGGTTATCACGTGAGTGTGTATGGGGATGATAAATATCCTGTATTAGGAATAAACATTCATGGTGTTACCTTGCCTTCTCCGTCTGCTGTGTCACGTTGTTACCTTACCTTTTCTGTCTGCTGTGTCACGTCGTTACCTTGCCTTCTCGGTCTGCTTTGTCACGTTGCCTTGCCTTTTCTGCCAGCTTAAATGATGCTTACAGGATATCTGAACTTGAGCATGAGTCTTTTCATTTTCTCTAGTGGCAAAAGTTTGAATAATGCAAACATGATATCTGGACTAAGCGAGAGTCGTTTCATTTTCTCTTGGAGCGACAATCTGAATGATGCTTTTGTCTGTGCCAGATGTGTTTTTTATTGTTTTCATCAGACTTATTTGGAACAAGCATACAGTATCCCATAACCAAATTGAACTGAACAAGCATGTAACATTGGTGTTTTAAAACCAGTTTAATAACTTTTCTCGTTATCACCCCCATTTTAAGAAAATAATCTGCTTTCTGCTGATAAAACCAATGTCAAAATATCAACCTGAACGTTTGAGGAATGATTCATGTCTCAGTTCGCTTTGCTAACCAACCTAGACTATGTGTTTTCTCATGCATTTTCTTTCCTAAGGTAGAAGTGTCATGGCATTAGTACTTTATTTTTCAGTGTGTTGTGTTCAATGACATCAGCGCCCAGGCTCCAGTCCACTTCCTTGTTGTACCAGTGAAACCCATTGAACGCCTTGCCACTGCAGAAGATGGAGACAAACAGGTATCAAAGGAGCATTTCATACATGGGGAGTCAGGACATCATATTAGGGCTGTAACCAATACACAAAGTGGCAAATAGAATAGGAACATGTAACAAATGCTAATTATTATTCGTGAACTCTTTTGGCTTTGTGTATAATATAATGCAGCCTTTCCTGAAGAAATGAATGAGTCGTCTATTTCTCAGATTATGAGGTATCAACATTTTGTACAGTTTTCAAATGTGTCAAATGTGTTTACAAAATTACCCCTATTTAAATAATGATGACTCCCCGAATACAATCCAACCTCAGCAATGTCCGAAAACTCTGTTTTATGTTCAGGGGGGTTAAGTTTGGTATTCTTATCATTTTCATGTGGATTATCTGCACCTTTTCTCCCAATATCTAATGTCACATTTCTCCCACCTTTGGGTGCGATTGTTCGGCCATTGCGTTCATCTGTGCTGTCCAGCTACATCTAAGGAGAATAACTCACTAGACACTTTCTTCTCAAAAACAACGTTGTCCTATTTACGACATCAAGTTGCGAGCGAGCGTATGGTCGAATGTCAGAAATGATGTCATGATAAATCAATGTTTTAATGTGAATTAACCACGATTCGTTCTTCATTCTTCTGATCATGTAGCTTTCTTATATTTCTAAATAGATATAACTGTGTAGTTATACATGCAATGGTTTTTATTTTGTTCCCAAAGCAAATACAATTCCGCTTTTTGTACCCAAACTAGCCTGTCATCAATGTATGTACTGGAATACACAGTCCTGGTATTACCTTATCCCTTCATTTTAAAGTGTTCCTGATTAGCTGGGTTGATGTTATATTCTAGTTTATTAAGTTTTTGAAAATTTCGGGGTAGAATAGGTCTTCATACGTGCTTGCCGTAAAAGGTGATTATGCTTGTCGTAAGAGGAAACTAACGGGATCGGATGGTCAGGCTCACTGACTTGGTTGATGCATGTCATAGTATCCCAATTGTGTGGATCGATGCTCATGATGTCAGTCGCTGGATTGTCTGGTGCAGGCTCAATTATTTACAGACCGCTGTCACATAGCTTGAATATTGCTGAGTGCGGCGTATCTGTATCTGGATTTTTTAAGTATCTGTATCACTGTGAGTCCAAATATGAGTATTTCTGAACATGGTTCAAGTACATAGCTTGAAATTTGTTCAAAAATAATACATGTGAATAAACACTTGAATTTGATATATTTCAGACCAACAACTGACAACTAGCATCTTATCTGACCTTGCATGCATCTGTTTTGACACCTTTTATAAGTGGCTCAGAACTAACTTGATACACATAAATTACAAACAAATTTTCTGCAGGGAAATTAGTTCTTTATTTCTGTATGATGCAGCAATGTATGGGAATTGTCATGTGCAGGTTGGTCTTGATTCTTTCCCCAGATTCTGGGGCACCTGCTGCTCGTGGCCAAGAGGGTGGCTGCAGATCAAGGTTTAGATGAAGGCTATCGGGTGGTAATCAATGATGGTCGGCTTGGAGGGCAGTCTGTGTACCACCTACATCTGCATGTGTTGGGGAAACGTCAATTGGGCTGGCCACCAGGCTAGAAAGACACACTGACACAGGCCAGGGTAGTCTTCTCTACACACCTTTTTGTCTTGATACCTTTGTGTTCCTTTTATCAGTAAGTTCATCCAGTTCCCAAATAGGGAAATTGCATCACAGAATCCTGGCGAATAAAACGTGAGCATAAACTCTTGTTTGTAGTATATCTCCCAAACACACCTTGATGCAGGATGCAAGTTTGATGCCCTGTTTCAGCAATTAAAGCTGAAACCTGGCCTGCTTTGTCCAAATATTTATAGGTTTCCATCACAGAGTTCCAGAAGGCTATTTGAGCAATTGAGTTTTTTCTCAAAGGTTTTTGTTCTAATTGGGTTATTACACATTTTGAGATTTCCCAAAAAATGAAATGATGTTTAAGATATGTACATATAGGCTTGACTCAGAAAGTAAAATAGCTCGTAAAAAGCTTCATTGGGTATTAACGTGTGCTGTTTTCATACAATTAGGTTATCATTTAATGCATGCGTTTCTGTTCACAAGTTAATTGGGTTTTGAATAGTTTGGGGGAATATATAACAAAATATGCAGCTTATCTGTAGCTCTGCCATCATATTGCTGACATATTGCTGAGAGTTCACTGGCAGTCAAAGGGGCATACAACTTGTATGTAATTAATTGTATGCACTGAAGTTATATGCAAATGGGCATTCACTTGTTGAGGAGTTGCATAAAACTTGGATCTGGCGAGATATCTGACCAAAAGCATGGAAACTGGCGACCAGTACATAACCACTGGAACCCTTGTTGCCGAGTTGCCACACCTTTTATAAAAGTTGTGAATAATTGCAAGAATTAGTTTCAGCTGGGAACAGGGCCATCCTCGGATTCTGCAATTTATCCGAGTTGTATAGTATTGAGTTTTCTACACCATGGTGTAAAATATAGACTGATTTGAAAAGCAGACAGTACTGATGTTGTTTCCTGTTTTGCTGACGAAAACAACTGTAAAATATTGCCTCTTTTAAGGGTACACTGATAAAGGCACAATGTGACATAATTATTGTGTTATACATTTGTATCTCACACTTGTCCAGATACTAGTTAACACACTATCTTGTCACAACATTGTTGCATTGGTAAGGTCGTGATGCAACGTTTTCACAACATTATTTCACAATGTATTAACAACATTGCAATTTCCGTTGTGAAAACGTGAATTGGACATCACATGACGTTTTGTGACAACGTTCTGAAAGTTGGTGAAGCATTACTTTCCTATATATTCGGCATTTGGATTTTCATCCCTTAATATTAAAATTCCAGAACGTAAGTGCGTCTCTCTATGACAACGTTAGTATTATGTTATATTGTAGTCATTCCACAACGTAACAACAACATTGCAATTTACGTTGTGAAAACGTTGTGCATCGGACATCACAAAACGTTTTTGATAAATAACGTTTAGGAAACCACTTGCAGATCTACCACCACCTAATTTTATTTTTTGTCAAACATATAGATCTATTTAGGAAAATAAAGCTTATTGAAAGTTAAGCTTACATGAGTAAGATAAAACTCCACGTGTTTTGTTAGTAGCTGTTTACTCATAGTAATATAGCAATATAGAGTAGTGGCCAGACCCTCCAACTGCCAACATACCACTCCCCATAGTAGAAGAAAGCAAACTTATGTTTTTGTATGCAACAGACTCGAAAATTATGTTTGTGGTCAAATGTTTTGGTGGCAGATACTGTTTTTGGGTCAAAATACACTTTTCTGTTGTAGAAATAGAGAAAATCAAATATAATCCCCTAAAAAGGTAGTGTTTGCATCTGGTCCTTAATTTTATCATTTATGTGATAGTTTACACATAGAAGACTTGAATTATTTGAAACTTTTTTTTTTTAATTATAGCCTCTCATATATTCAGTTACCGGTAAATTATAGCCAAAATATGGTCAATTTATTTCTATTTTCTATTTTCATTTTCCAATTATTGGAAAATGAACCGTAATGAATTGTTAGCATTATCAACCAAGACATTTGATATCTCAAAATGAGCCGACTCATCTTATGATGAGATGACCCTGTTCATATACATACAACTTTTATGATTTGTAAAAAGATTGGTAATTATATTATCCCACCCCCTATTTTGTGAAAATATATTTTTTTTATTCCCATTGTTAATTTCATTAATAATAGATTTACACCACACATACATATCACTGTTTGCAAATACCCTTTCTATATAGGATATGAGTATATAAGTTGGCCTAAAATCAATGATTATTTAAACCACTGAGGAGGTACATTTGAAGGTCAATGTCAATTTGAAGGTCAAGTTCTAAATTAATACATAATACATAAATAGTTTTAACAATGCTACAAATGCACATGCAACTATCATTACTGGTTCTTGGTATGCTTGGCAAAGCCATATAGAAAATACGAGGAAACAAACAAAAAATGGGCACAAGATCTAAATAACTGCCTCCTCAAAATGGACAACAAAAGTTCCTGTGACACCAATATTTTAGTGTATTTTTCAAACAAGTACAGTTTGGTATCAGTATTGTAGTACATGTATGGAATCAAGTCACAAAAACGCAACTGCCACAGAAAAGCATGCATTCCATGCAAAAATTGACTTTTATGCAAGCCCAATGCATTTCACTACCCAGAATGGGTATAAAAACGTGCGTTAACGGGATTCCATATGCATTGTTTAGCATCGTGCTGACAACAACCACTCAGAAAAACAACAATATTACGCAATTATTCAACATTATGAAATGCCACGCCTGTCCGAAAATGAGCGTCTGCGAGCAAGACAATTTAACGTCCACAGAAACACCAGTTGGTGTTTATGGCAACGTTGGCAACAGACGAATGCAGTCAGAGACCATCCTCGGAGTGGCAGGCCACGCGTAACCAATAATCGCCAAGACAATTGGATTCGAAACGACACACCTACGAAATCAATTCCAGCCAGCAACAGTGACTGCAAGAAGCATCCCTGACCTTCGACGAATATCTTCACAAACCGTACGTCGTCGCCTCAGATGTGCAGGGATTATCGCCAGAAGATCCGTCAGACGTCCCATTTTGACAGGAAAAGACCGTCAAGCACGTCTACAGTGGTGCAGACAGCGTCTACGCTGGACGGCCATGCAATGGGGACAAGTTATATTCACTGACGAGTCTCGTTTTCACCTCAGCCACAGCGATGGACGGATTCGAGTGTACCGACGTCGACGTGAACGTTACGTCAATCATTGTGTCATGGAAGAAGATCGTTTCGGGGGCGGCAGCGTTATGGTATGGGGTGGGATTACAGCAAGACAGAAGACCCGTTTGATAGTGGTAGAGGGAAATCTCAATGGACCGCTCTACCGCGACGAGATCATCGCCCCTGTTGTTCTACCGTTTTTGCGTCGTCATGGCCCAGGCATTACCTTTCAACATGACAACGCCCGGCCTCATATTGCTCGACTTGTTCAGGAATCTCTTCAACAAAACAACGTGAATGTCTTCCCCTGGACGGCTCGCTCCCCTGGTCTCTCACCAATTGAGCACATGTGGGATATGAGATGGATAAGCGACTTCGACGTCAACCACATGTTCCACAGACACTCCAGGAACTTTGAAACATGCTCCAGCAAATATGGACAGATATCCCACAGGACTTTGTGCGACGCCTAGTCCATTCCATGAGACAAAGATGTGTTGCTTGCATCGCAACCGGAGTTGGACACACACGCTATTGATTTGTAAATTGACATTTTGGAATGTTCATGTTTTTTTTAATGAAATCACGCATTTTCTGAAGTCAGTATGGCAAATTAAACAATTTGAACACATACAGGGGTCTTTTATCTGTTGCAAACCGAAATTGTTTCAGGTTTGGTAAAAAACATAACTTTGCATTAAATCTTATTCAATGTCACAGGAACTTTTGTTGTTCAGTATACATCAGGAGACCCCAGACAGCCATGGACCGTGACCAGGGAACCTATCTGCCCATTTCTTGAGACTTATTGCTTTGATTATTGTCCAGCTGCCTTCCATTTGTCCATTGCCATTTCTTTTGCTTTTAACTATCAATGCTTATTACCCCCTGCCTCCCGTTTGCCCATTTTCCATTGCCTAATTCCAGTCAGTGATAATTTAAGTCCTGCTGTCACCAATCCGCGCTAATTAACTGCTATGCGTTGGCTTCTATTTGTCCATTAATCACTTATCAGCGCCAACTGTTTGCTTCCCATGTTCAGTTTCCACCTTTGTCATGTTATCTTTTTTGTTGTTCTTATAGGTGTATATGTTCACTGCTTCATTGCATTTTGTCACCTGATGAAGGAGTAAGTATATACTCCGAAATGTTGTGTTCCTCATAATAAAGAGGTTGACATCCATAAATTCTCTACTTTATGTGTATCTTTTCTAAATGCAATTCAAAGGCTACATAAGGCATCTAAACCTCATAATCTGACATGTAAATCAGAATATTTATGAATACACTATTGCTCTCAATAACCAAAGAGTGCACTATTATGATTATATTTGTTATTACATACAATCATGATTCTTCATAAGAGAAGGTCACTTAAACCACAAAACGCCTACAGTTCGGTATGACTAAACTGTCAAATGTAGTCAAAAGTAACCAAAATGAATATGATCGAGATATAACCAAGAAATATCTTCACTCATGGCATGAAAACAATAATGTGGCAATGTAGTCATGTTGCCTTCCACACACACTTCTGCACTTGTACGCGACAGACATAGTTCACAATTAACATAACGGTTATTAGTTTCAACAAAAAAACAGTAAACGCACTACGTTTCACGGGAGTTTCTATCTGGTCCATTACTTGATTCTCTGGTTTCAGTAAAGACAACCGTCACATAGAATGCAACATACAACGCTTACTGTTCATGCAAATTGTGTGAGTGGCATGTGTTACCGGTAGGGCTGGATGTATTTACCTTTTCACTGATAAATAATTTAATTTGTTGATTTCAGTGATCCCTTCATATAATTTTCACGGCTATTTTGCTTTTGCGCCCAATGGAATCTGTATTGGCGAATAATCGAGACTGGTTGTTCTCTGGTGTTGACGTTTTATAACTTTAAAAAAAATATTTTCTGCTGTTATCTGCTTCAATACTGAATTTTTAGGGT